ATATATATATATATATATATATCATAAACAATTCTATAATTACTCTCACTTGGCTTACCTGCTAATAGGTAGAAGACATAACAAGAACAAGGGGGTGAAGAAGGGGAATGAGGGATAAATACAGAAGGAGCTATGACATTCAGATATATACAGTAAATAACATATATGAGTTTCTCACATATAGGGAGAGATCTACTGAATTGTGAAGTGAACACATGTAACATCCAATTCTGCTGAGTGTAGTGTTAATAAAGTGATTCTCTTGCTCATGATTGGATATTTAAAAAGAACACAAGGACACTTAACTTAGTATACCACTTCAGTTATTGACACTGTAGTAAATCCAATCATTATTGTGCAGAATTCTGTAGAAAATGCCACAATTATCCAGCCTTCCGCTGCCCATTCACAGGTAAAAATAAAAGGATGCATTTTACTTGGTATATAGTTTTTATTTAGCCATACAGTTTTCAGTTAAACTTTTCTTATATTTAATATATATATTTTTTTTTTTAAATATACATATGTTATAAATATGAATCTGCGAATGTAGTTATAATACCAATGTCACAACATTTTAACTTGGACCCCTTTGAGTACATCAGGAACAGCAGGATGCTCATTTTAATGTCTGAGTATTCTATATCTCTTCTTACAATTTTTAACATTCAGCACTGCTACAGTAATAGACTGATAGCACAGTGTCAGTTAGCAGTGAGGTGTAGAATCTTCTTACTGCTACACAATGGTCTGGTCCTTACTTTTAACTATACTTGAGGACCTCATAGTCCTCCAACTTTGCTATGTTACTGGGGCAGATTCATAAAATGTGGAGCTGTTGTTCATTGGAGATAAAAATAAAAAAAACTTGACTGGCTGCTTATAGATACAGGACTCTTTTACCCTGATAAAAGAAAAAGTTGCTGACAGGTATAAAGTGAAAGTACTCAGAGGTGCCTGAACTTAATACCTGTCAGTAGCTTTTTCTTTTCCTGCTTTGCCCTTCCCCTGGACCCTTCTAACAGGCAAGGGTACTGCACTTCCTGTGCTGAAAGTGTATGTAAAGGCAATTTTGTTAGTTTTGCATAGAGCGGGGAAGGGTTAGACCCCGTGTCAAGTTTCAATTGCAGTCTGAATCCCCTTGAGATCATTTACCCCTCTATTTGTCCTGGTGACTATTGTCACTATGGCAGAAAGTAAGTGGAAAGTAAGTGGAAACCCTAAATTTTTGCACTGTCATAAGCAGGAGGTAAGTGGAAATCTACACCTACCAACCTTCTGAGATGAGTAGGAGGGACACCTTACAGCACAATTGATTAAGGCAATGGACACACTCCTGCCACACTCTCAGTTATGCCAAGCATCAAGAATGGGGTTCCAAATTAGGACAGTCCCTCCAAATGAGGGACAGTTGGGAGCTACTGTATGCAAAATATTCTAATGGAGGAAAATGTTCTGGTGGCAACTGTCAATTCCCCTTATTTTGAAGACATTTCCTTTCACTTTCTGTTGCGGCTCCAAGATATGGTATTTTAGGGAAATCTGCTCAGCAGGACACAGGCAGCAAAAATAAACTGAGCCTTCCATACTGTATCCAAAAATAGATAGAAATGTTTTGGCTATGCATACACTTGAAACATGCCCCTTTCTGCACATCCCTATTGGCCAATGAGGAAGGACATTATATTGATGGGCCAATAGGAACGTGTGGGGAAGATGGTATTGGGCAAGCTCCACTGCTACACGGAAGTGTTAGAGCTTTATGTGTTTTAATTCTCCTAGCTTTGTAGTATTGACCATACTTGTAGGTCCATCAATGGTTCCCTCTGCTGCTTTGTCTTTGGCCCACAGACCAATCACTCTTCACTGCCTGCTTTGAGCTGCAAGGCTGGTGATGGGGCAGGTGTGTTTTAACAGTGTTCTTTCACAGGCTTTTTTTTCTTTTTTGAGTCTTTTTAAGCGAACATAAAAATCATGATTTCAGATTCTATTCTTCATTTATATCATCAAACTATTACCCTCAATTGCTTCTTTTAGAGTTGTCTTTATACCTACACACACAAGAACTTATAACCAAGGGATGAGTAGAAGCAGCATTAGATAAAGAATTTTGCAATCACTACACCTTTATGTACAGTACATGAAGTAGCCATCATTGAGGCAGATACAAATACTGAGAATCATAACAGAAACTTGTAATTACAGAACATGTCATTGCTGACCTCTCCTCAAAGAAGAACTCTCGACAGCATAAAACCTAACCCTTTCAGTGGAGCTACCCCTACACTGCAAGGGTTAGGTGTTTGTTTTTGTCTAGGTGCTAAAATAACAAAGATTTACTCACCTGAACCTCTGTCCCGTGGTCTGCTACCCCCCATTCCTTGTTGTCCTTACACCTAATACACCTTATAGGATGTAATGACTCGCAGGACCTTAGACCGCTGAAGCAGAGGGGGAGAGAGGCTGCAGGGACTGTTCTAGCGGCAAGGGGGGACCAAGGTTCAAGTGAGTATATCTGCAGATCATTAGTTTTGACATTTCCTACTGCAGGCTTGTCCCAAATTATAAAGCCAAAGACAGCCAGACAACAAGCATTTTTAAAAGAAGTCTCCCAATGACAACCTTTGTACAATATTTCTCTTGGGTTCATTTACAATCTGCTAGCTGTTACAGATCATAAATATCCTGCATTCGAATCCGAAAATATTTTTACACCAATTCCCGGCTCTGAACTGACTGTAAATTGTCACATGGTGTTCAGTGTTACACATTTGCAACTGTATCATCCATAGGAAAACAAAACAGTTTGACAGAAATTTGAGGATTGCTGTTTATTTAGCGATACAAATAAAGTTACTGGGTTGGATTACTAACGGAGTAGAGAATTTTCAACTGCAAAGTAAATGACCATTGTCTCAGTGAATAAAGTGAAGCTGTGTGTTTTTTTTTCTTTTTTAATTTCTATTGCACATAATTAGGTATTGAAAGTGAAGAAAGGGTAATCACCAGCGCACACGGTGTTGCCCTGATGAAGGCACCCAGTGTGTTACCGAGACGTTGGTATATGTGACGTGATGTGACAATTCTGTAAATGCAAAGAAGATTCAAGTAAAAAATGATCTGTGTGTGCTGGTGATTAACCATTTTTCACTTTGAAGTCCTGCGCAGCGCCATCTATGGAATGACTATGAGCACCACCATTTTTTACAGAAGGTCGCAAAGTTGTATAGAGTGCGGGTGGTTTAAGATACTGTTGTAATTGATCTGTCATCCATGCTAGCACCCCAGCAACTGACCCCCTAGTAAGGGAAGTATACATGTGTGCCTGTTGAGGACGCACATTCACCGATTCCAGCACTTTGCAGCAACCGCTTATCTACACCGATATGTGGATGAACCAACAGAGGGACACTACATCGGAAACAACCACTTTGGCCTGCTCATATAGCAGACAAGAAATCAAAGCAATCCTATCGTCACTATCTTGCCCTGATGAAGGGTTCTTGCGTGGCCCCGAAACGTTGATATTTGTTACGTGATGTGACAATTCGGTAAATGCAAAGAAGATTCAAGTGAAAAATTATCTGTATGTGCTGGTGATTAACCTTTCTTCACTTCCTAGTCCTGCACAGGTGCCATCCGTGAAATCACTACGAGCACCACAATGTTTTTTACAGAAGGTCGCAACGCTGTATGGGGTGTGGGTAGTTTAATACACTGAGGTATTGAAAGTGAACACAGCTTCACCTTACACTAAAGCAAAGAGAACGTTTACTTTACAAAGTAAACAAGGGTGTCAATTTTACTAAATGTGTACAAGCTGTTCATGTAGCAAAGTGACTGCTCATTGAGCTTCATAAATAAGGTGACGTTGTGTTCACTTTCAACACCCAATCATGTGAAAGGAAAACACAACTTAATTTTATTCAAGCTCAGTAAACATAGACTTGTCTCGACTTCATTAATAAATCATTCCACTGACACTGATTCCTCAAGATCATTTAAGAAGTGCTGCATAGAGCTTAAGTCATGCTAAAATATCCTTTAGTATACCGTAAAGCCCATTTGAACTTTCAGTTTAAATTGGCTAAATATATTCCAGGTGCACCAAAACAAAAAGTGTTCAATGTCCTACAGTTTGTTATTTGTAGAAAATAGTCACAGCCTGAATAGAAAAGTATGCCTACTGCAATCATCAAAACCATGCTCACTACTAATTAGAGAGCTCTATCAGACCTCTGCAGAGAGAGGCCACTGCTTCCACACAAGGACAAGGGTCCTTTTCTCTTCCATGATGGCAGGGGACAGGCCTTTCTACTTAGCTTGTGGCTGCTTTCTAAAGCAAACAAACTGTAAGACTCTGAACATGTCTTGCTTTGCAGTACCTGGTGTTATACCTATGCCTGAAACTGAACCTTCCACTAGAGCCACTGGAGGGCTCTGGCACTATGCAAGACTTTCTGTTTCTGACGATCTGCACTGTCTGGGTCATTGACTCCACCTGCCTGTCAGCTGCAGGCAGTTACCTAGTCAACTCTCTATAATTATACCAGTAGTCTACCCCTGACCAGTGGGGGGCAACTCCAGCCCTCTAGCTGTGAAACTAAAAATTCCATCATGCATTTGCCTTTGGGAGTCATGCCTGTGGCTGTCAGTCTTGCAATGCCTTGTGGGACTTGTAGTTCCAGAACAGCTGGAGGGCTGGAGTTGCCCACCCTTGCTCTAGAGGAAGGTAAATGACCTAGAAACTGAAGGTCCCAGGATCAGTTCCAGGCATCGGTGTGACACTTGGAATAAATGTAGCGGATTCAAATGAAAAGCTCAGTTGGACTTAAAGCACTTTTTAGCACATTTTAAGTCATACTGCACTTTGATGAATCCGGGCCCATGTCTACTAATTCAACCATGATGTCTTACACATTTGATTAGTACCCTAATTAGTTTTTTTTTTTACAGTTGTATTACCATCAATAACACAAAGGCAAAGGTTTGTTTTTTAATGCTTAGCATCCCATTGGCCCATGCTTTAATACATTTATAAAATGATTTTCCTCAGACTATAGTCAGCACGGCTATAAATACTCCAGTTGGGATGAAAATGCCACACTATAAGATTGGGGTTTTGTAAGCGTTTCCTGTTAATACACTGATTTGGCCTTTAAGTACAATATAATAGTTTACAGCAATACCACAAATAACATGTAACAGTATGAATTTGAAGGCAGATCAGTCGTCAGTGCTGGCTGGAATCCCTAGTCACTTGACACTGATAATGGAAGGAACAGGATGGCGTTTTGGCCGTAGTGAGTCCGTGAACCACGTTTGCATGTCCCGTTCTTCTTAATGCCAATAAACCAGCTCAACTCTGAGTATTTTTTTGACTTGTATGTATTGTAGTTGTTCTCCTCTATAGTCTCCAAAAACAGGCATTCCTCATTCACCGTCATCTTGAAAAAGAAAACAGAGAAAAAAAAGGCCTTGGTTTATTGCTTGTGGGAAACGAAACTTTAATGTTATATATAGAAGAGTTGGATGGCAATTCTGAAGGAGAGATTCTGGCTAAGCAAATTATGCTTTTGGTCTGCACTTGAAACCAATGCTTCCCTGGCCTCACTACTGTGGCTCTGTCTGGAATGTCTTTAAAATATGCTTCGGCTGCAGAATTCTGTCACTGTAGGAGGTGCTTTGCCATTAATAAAACCACTTTTGATCATTGTAATGTTCTCACAACTGATACATGTAGTAAATGTGAGTTAAATTATGAAGTTTCTGCTCAGAGTAGTATAGCATTGCTTTTATTACTTGTTTTTGGTCTGCAGTTGGAATTCATTTCCAGTATAGACAAATAACATTGGAGAGGATTTCTCCACCAGTCAGGGGCGTAACAAAATTTAGATTTTGCTCTTTGTGATACCTACTAGCCTCAGCTGTGACAATATGTGCCCCTGATCTTAACATAAAGTATGCCTGAATCAAGGACGGATAGCAGGTAAGAGCTGTCCGTATACTCAATACAAAAAAATTATAAACTGTATCTGTTCTGTGCACTCCGCTAACAAATATCTCAACTTTGTTACAGCAACAAACTCTGGTTGACACAAAATTAAAAAAAAATAGTGTCAAAATTCCATCATCAGGCAAGTTTTTTGCCAATCCAGCCTTGCAGCTCTGCATGAAAGAGTGAAGCTCTCTTACACTATAGCAAAGTAGAAGATCACCAGGACTCAGCAGTAAATATGAATATGACTTTTTTTTATTGGACAAAGACGTCACCGTGATCAAAAAAGCTGACGTTTCGGGACCGCGCAGGGTCCCTTCCTCAAGGCAGAAAGACGTCTTTCTGCCTTGAGGAAGGGACCCTGCGCGGTCCCGAAATGTTGGCTTTTTTGATCACGGTGACATCTTTGTCCAATAAAAAAGGACATATTCATCTTTACTGCTGAGTGCTGGTGATCTGCTTCTTTGTTCTGTGTTTGCACAGAGCCATCCGTGGCTATCACTACGAGCACCATCTTTCTTGTTGGCCTGGACTACTGTGAGGTGTGCGGAGGGCTCCCCCATCGATTTACAACTCTTACACTATAAGACTTTTTTTTTTATAGTATACTCAGTATCCTACTAGGGACCAATACAGTGAATAGAAGCTGCCAGGGAAGAGGGGAGAAGCAGGGCATGGAATTTACTTTTGACCTTCAGTAGCTCACTAGACATTTCCAGCATCATTAGGAGTATAAGATCTAGGGGCCTTGGTATAAATTCTAGTCCTTGTTGCCCTTCTACCTTCATAGCATACCTTCATAGCAAGCATGTCTTAGAAAAGGTGGTGTAGTAGTAAAAAAAAAAAAAAAAAACAAGACTTGTAGTAGCAATAGTAATAACCACAATCATATTTTATTAAAGTGGAACTAGTGCCTAACTGCCAAAAATTGCTGGCAAGTACGCTTTTACTGCAGAAGAGGCTCTGTATGTCTGATCTACTCCCAGATGGGAATGAATACCAGCCTGTACTACTAAGACAACAAGCAACCTTTACAACAGCTAAACAAATGTGGTTTGCTGCACAGAGAAAGCGAGGGAGAGCTGTTAATAATGACAGTCCTATAGACTCCTCCTGTATATTACATCAGCTCTTCATGGTTACAGACTTCACATGTGGTAAGGGTCAGTTCCAACCTGATAAGCCCATTCACACTGATAAGTTGCGGTACTTTGCAGTACTTTGCAGTACTTTGGGGTAAAACATGCATTAGTGCAATATACTCATTATACAATAGTCACTGCAGTGCCATCCAGTTAGAAAGGCACCCAATAGCCTTGTAGAGTAGCTGCCAACACACCTGTAGTACAGAATACCACAGAGCACATGTGAGTTGCGGTGTGCTGCACTGCCAAAAATACTACAGGTACTTTTTTTTGCATTAAGAGCATTGCTAGCCCATTCAAAATAAATAAGCTGTCTTAGCACATGAAAAGGTGTTGCTTTAATGCAGATACATTGGGGGTGATTTACTAACCTAAACACACACACACACCAGGTGTGTGTGATTTTCACACAGCAAAACGTATTTATCAACCAAAAAGTCTCTAAAAGCATATTTCCACTAATGCCATATATGGAAAAATCATGCACATGATGCATATATAATGCTGCTTCACAGTTTAGACAAAAATGGTTAGCTCATGCATTTACATTCCTGCATTCATCAACGCAAGCAACATAACATAGAGCTAATTTACACCACATTACCTTGCAATTCATTGCAGGGCTTTCCACAACACACCTGCTGGGTGTGTACACACTACAAAGGTGTTTCGATTCCTCCCATAGATCATGCTGGGAGGGAACACACTACAGAGGTGTATACACGTTCGTGGTGTGTTTAAAAGGTTAGTAAATCAACCCCATTAACTCAATAGTGTAAATGGGCCCTCAAAGATATAGTACTAGATCTGTGCTACTTTCACAAGCACACAGATGCCAACTGCACCCCACCACCACCAGGCCCCACAGCATTACCAAACATTTCTAAAGGGTATTACTTGATACTTACAGATCCATATAAAAGCCCACTTTCGTTCATAGCCAAGTAATTCCCAGTATCAGCATTCTTGATATAAACCACACCAATGCTTTCTGTGCTTAGCTGCAACTGAACTAAAAGAGAAAAGGTTACTCAAAGGATACCAAAGTACAAAAGAAAGACCCATTAGGGATGAATATTCCACTAAAATAATAATATATTTTGTAAAAACTAGAAACCCTATTTGCTCCAGGCAGATTACATATTGCAAACCTTATTTGATCCATGCAGAATAAATCTGACATATTTTTACAATAATTAAGCCTCCTTCTCTAAAGTTTCAGGCATAGCCACTTTGTATAGCATGCACAGAATAAATGGGGTTTTACTTCTCTGAACTGCAGAATTTGCTCCTGTACATACTTATATTTTGTATTTTTTTATTTTCCCCCTTACTGTCACCTACTACTTACACAGATGACCATTCCCCTTAGAATTTAATTATCTTATCAAGAAATGCAAAGATGTCTGGTGTTCTGTTTTCCAATTTGTCTCCTTAAAGGTGCCCATACACTGCACGATTATCGTACGATAATCGTATGCGATCGGTTTTTTGTACGATAATCGAGCAGTGTGAACGGAGACGTGCGACCGTTTCTACTGTACGGTCGCACGTCTTCTGTCGAACCAGCATGTTCGAAAACCAGCCGGGAATCGTACGATTCTCGGCTGGTTAGAACGGTGCTCGGAAGATAAATGCTGAACGGGCCGGTGTGCGCACGCGCACACTGCCCGTTCAGCATTGCGGTCATCGGAAGCCCGCCCCTCAGGGGGGCGGGCTTGCGATGATCGAGAGTGCGATCTGCCTGTCCAAGATAGGCAGATCGTACGGTTTTTTAATCCCTTTACAACCATCGCAAGACTAAAGTCTTGCGATGGTTGTAGAGTGTATGGCCACCTTAACTCAAGAAACCCCCAGGCAATTTAGCAGTTAGAGCATAGTGTGGCTAATCAAACTAAACTTGGGTGATCTACATACACTTCATATAGATACATGCATACTAATTTTCTGGAAACTTGATTTGCTTTTTTGGGTCAGTATATTAAAACGGTTGTCCTAACTTGGTACTAAATTCATGCTAAATAGGTGTTTTGTCTTGATAATTTTTTTTATCCAGCAGGGGTACTTACAAGCATTTATGCAAATGTGGTCTTCAATGTCCTCATCCAACGTCTAAATTGGTAAAATGCTATTTTCCTGTCTATCTAACATTTACTCCTTATCATTTACAGGTCTTATCAAATGTTACAATAATTATAGCTACTGGTAAAAATGTATGTACATAGTAACATAGTAGGTGAGGTTGAATAAAGACACAGGTCCATCCAGTTCAACCTATGTATATGTGTAGGTGAGTTTATGATGTCTGCTGGGGGGCTTGGGGGGAGGGGAGTTTATGATGTCTGCTGGGGGGAGTTTATGATGTCTGCTACAGACATTAACACTGGTACCTTATATAGTAGCGGCCAATCCTGGACTAAAAAATGTGTCCAGTGGCCCCCCTGCTATACGGGCTCCTCAGCACTCGGCAACCACTTGTATCTTCCTCAGCCCACCCCAGTTGCTATTGGCTAAGAGGGAGAGTGCAGCAGTGCCATTGGCTTGAAAGCTTGTCTTCTAAGTATTAGGTTAGTACAATAAAAAGGTATCACCGCATACCGCATTACTCTCGTATTTTGTAAACTGGTGTATGTATGTACTGTATGTACAGTATATGCTTGGCTCTAGTAGTCCCCTTATCCCTGTATATTTAAGAACTCAAGAAACTCATCTAAATCTTTCTTGAATTTATCAATGCTATCAGCAGATACTACTGACTCTGGAAGGAAATTCCAAATTTTTACTACTCGCACAGTAAAAAAAACCCCTGCAAACTACTCTCTTCTAATCTCTTGCTGGGTCCTCATGTCATTAGTATGGTTCTTGGTGTAAACATCCTATTCCGAATATTGCTGTCCACATTTATGATTTGGAAAATTGCAATTAGGTCCCCCCTCAAGCGCCTCTTTAATTTCTTGAGCCGATCATCATAGCTCAGGCCTTCCATCCCCTTTATTAATTATGTAGCCCTTCTCTAAACTTTCTCAAGTTTGAGAACATATTTCCTGAGAGTTGATGAACAAAACTGAACCGCATATTCAAGGTGAGGCTGAGCCAGTGACTTATACAGAGGTAATATTATGTTATATAATCCCTTGCCAAAATTCCTCTTTTAATGCAGGATAATATCCTGTTTGCTTTGCTGGCCACTGCTTGGCACTGCATGCTATTGCCAAATCTGTGATCTATGAGCACCCCCAGGTCCTTCTCCATATCTGACTTCCCCAGTGGTGCATCCCCTAGTTAGCAGTTTGTAGACATGTTCTTTCCTGTCATGTGCATAGCCTTACATTTTTCAGTATTAAAATGTAGAAAGATGTCAGTGGCATGTAAATGAAAAATGTAAAATTAAGAGGAAGAGAGGTGAGATGCTGTGCATTCACACTGCTCACTCACTCACTCTCTGTACCCACCCACACACTCTGTGCACCCACCCACATCGCCCACCCACTCTGTGCACACACACACTGCCACCCACTCTGTGAACCCACTCACATCGCCACCCACTTTGTGTATTCATCCATAGTGCCCATCAATTCTGTGCACCCACACCGCCCACACTGCACCCACTTTGTAAACCCACTTTTCCCAGCTTCACTGGTGTAACTGTTATTTTAAGGTATTTTTACACTGCCACACCAAAGAAATTAGGGAAAGTGGGTTATATTGTACTGTCTAATCTTTCTGTGGTGTGGCAGTGTAATTATAACTTACAATAACACTGCCACGTAATGTACGTGATATGATTAAATGCCGTTTTGAATAGATCACTGTCTCTGGATGTACGTATCCTGCAGGGACAGAGCTCTATTGCAAACTGCATTTAATCGTAGAATATAATAATGATAATATATGCTGTAGTTCAAGCACCAGAGGGGGTGCGGGTTGCGGGGGGGCCTCTACAAAATTTTGCTATGGGGCTCTGTGATTTCTAGTTATGCCCCTGATGCGACGGTGCAGTTTTTGACTTGCGGTCGCATGGAAATTAAGGAACCTGAGCCTCCCTCTTGCTCCCGACCGTGCCCCCTTCCGGTGCAGGCCCCATAGCGGGCGCGTAGGCTGCTATGGTGGTAGTTACGCCACTGCGGTGTATTTTTTGTTTTTGTTTTTACTGTTGCTTGTAAACTTACTGTTGAGGTCATCTCTGTCTCTTGTCCCATCCACGGCTCCATCTGGAAGTATGCGTAAGAAGTATCCACCATTTCTGCAGTAGAGAAGTTTTGGTTGCTGGTAGTTTCCCATTGGGAGGTTAAACTTCTCAGTCACAGCTCTGAAAGTGGTGATATCTCCTTCCGCCATCCTTCTTACTTCCCCAGCAATGCTGGGTTCTCAGCACTGTAAGACATTAACCATACTTAGCACTCTCAGAAGAAATAACAAGCAGTGATAGTTTTTATTTTAGTGCTTCTTAATATGTCAACTATGTTTTTGTAGTTTGGATTACTTAATGGCACTTTTATCAAGAAATGTTCTCGACAGTTTGAAAATGTTAAGTTGGTAGCCCCCCGCTGCCCATTGAAATAGAATAGGTTAGCGTTGCATTCTCATCCATGTTTTTGCAATAATTTGGACCGTGGTAGGGTAAATAACCCCTATCGCTGTTATAGCTATGATAGGGAATGTCTGTTTTTTCAAGCAAGCTTTTGATGTCACTACATAAGTTAGTGTTACAACCTCAGCTGGTTCCTTTACAACAGTGTAGGACACTAGCAGGGAATCTCCCCCACTGTACAGCTATAACATGCTTTTATAGCCAAGCTTTCATTGTCACTAGATAAAAGCAGGTGTTTGTGTATATACTGTCAAGGCAAAAATATTGGAACCCCTGCATTTCTATCAGTCCAGTTCATGTGTCAGGTTTGGCTTTTTTTTTTCCACTTTTTTGTGTCATACCAATAGAAATAACCATGAAGATGCCTAAACATTTGTAATTGTATAAACAGTATATGCTAGGGATGCACCAAAATGGGATTTTGAGACTGAAACCGAAAATAAACAATTTGTCAGGCCGAAACTAAAAATGACAGGTTTTTTCCCCAAACTTTTTAAAAGTTTTAAAATGATTTTTTTAATTATTTTATTTTTATTTCTTTTAACTGCTAGGGGCTCTAGGAAAATATCAGGGGTCTACACAGACCCCTGATATTTCCCCTTTATAATAGAAAAAGAGATTGAGCCCTCAATCTCTTTTTTCTGCAGCCCCTGTTATGGATGAACAGGAAGCTTCTATACTGAGTGTTCCTGTCCATTCATACATTGTGGATACTATGTCCACAATCATGAATGAACAGGAGGTGATGTAGATCATAACTGGGACATAGTAAGCACACTATGTTCAGTTATTTACAAACACTCACCGATCAGCTGATTGGTGAGTGTTTGTATACCACTCTCCATCCTGAATCACAGGAGGCTGAACGGGCGGTGGGGGATTTCTACCTCCTGTGACAGATCACAGCGCTCCCCTCCACTCACCGCTCTCCATCCTGTCACAGAAGCCAGAGCCAGGAGGTGCTTGAGGAGAGTTCCACCTCCTGTAAGATTACATTAGTTACTGCATTTTATATCCCCATTGTTCTTTCACATATTTGTTATTTATGCCCAATGGAGCAGTGATTACCAGACAATATCGATTCTGCAAACTCACTGGACATTTTCTAAAAGATATGGATAAAAAAGAACAATAAAACAGACGGGGACTGATTTATTAATGGATATGAGAATGTTCACGCCATAATATGTGTGACATTGACTTTATTTATTCCATCATGTGGAAAGAAAATCCCTGTTTACTTTTTCCATCTGCAAATCCGGAAATGTTGACGAGAACAACTTTGGGGAATTCCCCTTTCAGACACTGTAAATGAGATGAGGAATGCAAACAATATCTTGCAGTTTAATCACAAACTATGCAAATATTTACAGATAACAATACAAAACATAATAAAGTTGCCTACAAAACCCATAAAGCTTTGTTGGCAACAGTGTCCGCTAAAGGTAAGAAAGACTACCACCCACATCACATCCTGATGTGTCAGTCGGTATAATTTACTTCCTCTCCATGAATAGATAATGTCCTATTTTTAAGATACTAATTATGTTTGCTGTCACAATCTCTAGGATTAGTGAGGTCCAAAGGTTGGCAGGTTCATAAGCACTTCTTCCTATGTGCTTTTTACATCGTATGAGTAAGGTGTATATCCTGAATCTCTATATTGCCTGCATGAGCACAAGCTTAAAACCTGTCATTTCATTCCTGGTAAAACTTTAAAAAACACTGTATTGTGGATTAGAGTAAATCTCAGAAGTAAATAACAAATAAATGTTTACCTTTCCTCTTTAGCGGGTAGCAGTTCAGCCTATATAAACCAAATCACAACATATAGGAACTTCAGAATTGCAGAGTTCATGAGTATTTTTCCACACTTCCAGCCAAATAGGGATTGCACCTATCAAGGCTGTCCCTTTAGGGACGTTCACACCAGCTCCGGTGCATTCTAGCACGCTTTGCTGCTGGAAGGTACTGGAGCACATCCCAGACACTTTACTGTGTTCAGGGGCGGGCCGGTGCGTTGAAGTCAATAGCACTGCAGCCACTTCCCACGCCCGCACCAAAACACATCAGTGCCAGCGTTCCGGTCCAGTGTAATCTGCAAAAAAAAAATAGTGCTTGCAGCATATTTCCAGATCGCACTGGACCAGAACGCAGCCATTGTTTTGCCACGCGTTCTGGTGCGGTCGATCGCACTGCGGGCAGGAGGCGTGGTGCCATTGACTTCAATGCACCGCCATGCCCCCTCCTGTCCCTGAATGCAGGATGTGATACAGTGTGTTCCAGCAGCTGACCACTCTGGAACACATGGTTTGTGGTGTGAGCAAGCCTTTAATGAGGCAGCCTGAGGCTGTTGTCTCAGGTGGCATCTCTTCGGGTCACGTGGGGCCACTCTGCTGCACAATGTTTTCAGTGTGCCTGCTGCCCCCTTTCCGTCCAGAACCTCCCAGGTTGCTAAGAGCCGGGTGGGAAGATGTGTAAGGTCCATACAAATCTCCCCACCCAGCTCTTGGGACATTATTGCCAGCATCCTGCCAAGCTCCTGGCAACCTGGTTTACCAGGAGCTGGAAGGGGAGATGCAGAGCCCTTACAAATTAAGGTTAAGAATCCTGATGGGTTTTTCTTTTTGCTATGTCTCACAGATACAACAGAAAGTGAGAGAAAATTTCCTGAAAGCAAAGAATTCAAGAGTTTTAATTGGAACATGTGTTCCCGTTAGAAGATTACCCCTCACCTCCTGTTCCTGTGACAATGCTAATATTTTGGATTATTTTTGGGGGGCGGGGGGGAGGAAATTGTCACCAGTATAGATAGAGAGTTTCCCACGTGGGAAGACACACAGAAATGAAAACCTGACCTGAGTTTTGCACCCTTTCCTCCGCCATCCACAATTAAAAACAGTTTTTGCGTTACATATATAAAACTTGCCCAAGAGAGCTTGCATCAGACTGTTGTTGGATAGGAGACAAATGATAAGAAACCTGTATGACTTATACACTATATTGCCAAAAGTATTGGGACGCCTGCCTTTACATGCACATGAACTTTGTTGGCATCCCAGTCTTAGTCCGTAGGGTTCAATATTGAGTTGGCCCACCCTTTGCAGCTATAACAGCTTCATCTCTTCTGGGAAGGCTGTCCACAGTTTTAGGAGTTTGCCTATGGGAATATAAGGCTTGAATGCAGCTGCTCGGCCATGGAAACCCATTCCATGAAGCTCTCTACACATTGTTGTTGTGCCAACCTGAAGGCCACACGAAGTTTGGAGGTCTGTAGCTATTGACTCTGCAGACAGTTGGCGACTTCTGCGCACTGTGCGCTTCAGCATGCGCTGGCCTTGCTCTGTCATTTTACGTGGCCTACCATTTCATGGCTGAGTTGCTGTTGTTCCCAGTTGCTTCTACTTTGTTACAATACCACTAACAGTTGACCGTGGAATATTTAGTAGCAAGGAAATTTCACGGATGGACTTATTGCACAGGTGGCAACCTATCACGGTACCACACGTGCATATACTGAGTTGTTGCCATGCACAGCTGCTCCAGGTTTTGTCTGTACCAGTTTTGATAAACACCTGGACTACAAGTGGCTCTGTGACTATTTGAATAATGTGAAATACATATTAATGGCCTGGGTTTTCACACTTAGGAGGGTTCACTAACATCTGCATCCTACTTATACTGCAGCATTTTACCTGGTGGCATTGTAATAAAAGTAGACAGTAGTGTTGGTAATAGCAACCCTAATGTAAAATTACATAGTACTGTATATAAATGTACTGTATACTTATTATGTATGCTTGAGCAAAACTAGTTCATTCTTGTAAGGGTAATCTAATTTGTACTAATTTTTCAAACACACAATACACTGTGTAAGACATGTCCACTTTGAGAGCAAATAAAAATTAAATTAATTCCCAGCACATCTGAAAAATTAGAGATACGAGACATTTCCTATTCCCGGATTAATATTTAACAACAGAACAGGAGCTATTAATGGGGTAAGCAAACTAGACAGGGCTAGGTGAGGGTCATACATCCAGTTCTTATCTACAGCACACAGGAGCTCTGCAGATAAACTAAGGAACTTTAGCTTTCTATGCAGTTCAGTTCATAACTTAAGTCAACATAACAAGGAGAGATTAGTTATCAAGGTTGTACTACACTTTTTGAGTTCTAATGTTCAACACAATTAAGATATTATTTGTTAGCTAGCAGAATGACTATCTTGTTCCATAAAGTCTAATCATGTTTCAGAATAGTTGTAAAATGTGTAAAGAATTTACCTGGCTCTCTAGTTTGAAATATTCAAGCATGACTTATTCAATTATTGGACATTGTAAATAATATAAGGTGGAAAACACCTTAGTTTGACAAACTAGACTGTCAAAGTGAACCTGTGACCACTGACTATGCACACTTTACATACTCTGAACAAGCTGTACATGTTCTTGAAAGCAAGCCCTTATTCCCTGCTATATGCATTGTTGAGAGATTAATTTTCAAAAATCACAGAGGCACAGAAACCTTAGCTTTTTTTCTATGAGACCAAGAATGTTTGCAACAGCCAACCTTCTAATGTAAACACACAGCAGGTGTTGTAAAGCAGTTAGAAACAGACCCAACTTCAGAGTCTTTGTTGTGATCTTTGAGAATAAAACAGTACAAACCGCTACAGAGGTGAGGGAGGGCTTGTTTTAAAAGTACTTTTACCACTTGTTAGGAATATATAACTAGTCTAAAGTGCATAGTCTGGCACAGGTAGAGTCGCCACCTT